TATTTTGCACTGCACTAACTCAAGAGGTGTTACAAGTCATATACAAGTGAGCAGAAACTTCTCATTGTATATATTAGGATTACCTCACTGAGAAGTTGAACTATTGGAGAGAAGAGTTCTGATTATTTCATTGCTTAATTATGTAAATTATTTTAAACTTTCACACAGTCAGGACAATACACTTAATCCCTAGACTTACATATGCTTACAGATTTCAACCCATGAAACTGAAAACCCTTTAAAAAAAATCTGACACCTTGTTTGATTAGAACAGCTGCACTGTTATTACTGGAACTAGATTCATAAGAAGAAAGAATAACCAGCAATGTGAAAGCAAAGAATGTAGTTTCAGAGCACGGTTTAACCATACCCTAAAGCCTAAAATAATGCTGGTTTTGTCCTGCAACCTTTCATTCTCAGTACAGCACTTACCTAGCAACTACCCAACAGCAGTGTGAGCTGCTGCAGTTCATTGCAACTAACAAAAGACTAATTCTATCAATGCTAATTTTCATTCTAGTTGACAAAACAATCAGACTCACACAGGGGTCACAGAGTTTGGATCCTGTGGAATGTGAATGAGGAGAGGATGAAGGACAGGATAGCCCCTCCCAGCAAAAGGACAGTGAGATCTATTTAGCATGAAATGCCAAGGATAACTGATACACAGTCACTGATTCATTCCAGTTCTGTGATGAGACAGACATTGCAGCACATCTCATTCACACCACGACAGCAATTCCTTTTTCCCCACAGGTGCAGCAGCAATTTATAGGCCTTTAAACCTAAGAATACTGTCAGAAATTCAACATGCAACAGTAGTCAACATCCTTCATACTTCAGCTGCAACCATTGTGCCAGAGAGCAGGCTACAAACAGTCAAAGAAACTCTCCCACAAATGGCTCTTCTGCCTTGCAGATCAGGCTATTAAGCTGTAGCTATTGCTCCCACACACATGGTGTTATTGTTACTTGATTCCATCCAATCAGCTGTGGTCGCTTCAATACAAGTTTGACACCACGTTGATTAGCAAACAAGAGGGTAAATATTTTTTTCGTTTATGATTTTAATTTTTAGAATTGTATTCCAAGAACAAGACACAATCTAGGTTTACAGTCAAGCATACACAGTTACATAAAATATGACCTACATGCTAAGCCAGGTATTCCTGACAACAACTCAATCAACACAGAAGCTATGGTCTCAGATATGTAGTAATTCTAGGGGCAGCTGGACATCTGGAAATGTCAAACAACAACAGAAGCATTAAAAGTAGAGTAAGATCATGCCTTGGAAATGACCATTAAAGAAACAGCTCCAATCTGTAAAGCAGCAATAGCTGAGACTAATACTGCTACCTAGCTTCAGGTCACCTCCTATGTCCCCCAGTTTAAAGTATTTAGTTATAATCTAATATCAGACTCAAGGAATATTTGCAAGGCTCTAAAACTGGGGTAGGGAAGACAGACATTATAAATACAAGCAAACAGAAAGCTAAACTATAGTGCCCAAGACAAATACATCCTTCTGTGGAGCACTGCAACTTTTCCTTCCAATGTTCATGGATGCTGATCTACCTAACAGGAAACAAACCATGTACTTAAACATGAAGGGAGAGAGCGTGCTGCAAAGCAACACAGATGGGGAAACTTTCATTTTCAAGTGAGGAGGGAAAAAAGTTAACAGATTACAGCAGACAGTCTGCTTCAACAGATTGCAGGAACAAAATGGCCATCTACTTTGTATTTAGGATGCTTTCACATCTTTGCTTGGCACAAGAGGATGGTCTGATCTCATCCATACCAGGCTGTGACTGACAAGTATTCAGTGTGTTTACTATTAAATACTGTCTCAGCAACTGATGTGTACACAATCACTCAGACCTTACAAATGAGGAGAATGAGCAATCCAAGTGGATGAAAAGTCAGGCACAAGCTCTATTTAACAAGATGGACAGTCACAAATTTAAAAAATTATTTCCACCATTAAGGACTAAGAACAAGATGTGCCACTCTGAAAAGTTTTCTGAGACTCTGAATGAAATAATTTATCGTTTTGTTGGTTTTGTTAAGTGGAAAAAAAAAAGGAAAAACCCTGCAGTAAACATTCCAAAAATTGTTGCAACAGCCAGTGTGTTTTAGAAATAATAATGAGCTATACTTACTACAACAACACCCAACTGACACAGAATTAGAAAATGAAAGATGTTTTAATTGTGCACTTCAAGTCTTTTGCTTCTTGACATAAAGATATACAATTAGTACAAAGTATTTCACAAATTTAAATATTTAAGAATAATAGCATTCATAGAGCAAAGGGAAAAAATTTCATTAAAACAAAGTTCTGATGAAGATTATTATGTGGAACAGTGAATTTGAACCACTCCCTGTTTCCTGTGCATGACTCCTCAAGACAATTCACATGCAATTAAGAATTCAAATTGTCTACTAGCTCCATTCCCCAGTTCCTTAAAGCATTAACCAAAGTATTTTAGTGGTGTTAATGAATTCCAAATTGCAAAGTCTCAAATTGAATCAGAATTCAGTTTGCTCGGGACACACGTGTCAGGACAAGTCCACCATGTCAGAAGTCAGCAGAGGGCACTGCGACACACCTACAAATTAATATTTTGTTGTTGTTTTGGCCCTTAAACATAGGAGGTCAGTCAAGAGTGGAGAACTCTGCCACAGACAGAGAAGCTGCTGCTCCTTTCCATCACCAGTTAAGATGACAGGCTGCTATGGACTTTGCACCAGGAAGTCACCACACCAGAATCCAAACGCTGCATAAGAAAGAGCCTCAGGTCTTCACAGCTACATAGTATTTAAAAATCTGTTTCTTAGGGTTTCTAAGGGAAAGCTAGGACCCACCTTCCAAACTCCAAACACACAATTCAGAGACTCAAAGTCGCTCAAATAGGTACCTCTGGGAAGAGACCAGAGGAAAACAGATCAAAAAAGAAAGATAAAGGGCACTGAGAAAACAGGACAAGAACACTCTCAAGACCATTGAAATTAAGACCTCTCATGTCACACGAGATCTACTTCTGTGCTACTTCTCACCTTATGTTTTCACAAGAACTTTGCTTTATTAGCAAAGTTAAACAATAATCTCAAAGCTGTCCAAGTTCTCATTGAACACTTTCATCTTCCTGAGAAATTGAACACTGGCAAACTATTTAAATCCCACAGCTGGGAAACAAGGACACAAGAAGGAGGAAAGGAATTATAAATAATATTTAGGACTCCCTTTTTAGCAAAAATAATTAGGGCATACAGATGAGTGACCAGTGGCAACAAGGAAACCAAACTCCACAGAACTGCACAGTACATTATCCTTCATTTCCTTTTGCAATAAATCTGTGGAGAACAGTAGCTGTTCTCTTCATTCTCTGTGCTATTGGGTTAGGCTCATAGAGGTCTTTAACTTGGGCAAATACAACCTTTAGGAATTCAGGGGGGAAAAAACCAACTAACTACAGAAAAATCTGGTCATCAGAAATTAAGGTACTCAATATTGCTGCCATTTCCCTTGAAACCAACACAGTCTAAGTAGTTAAAATAAGAATTCTCTGGCTGGTGCTCTTATGCAACAAAGCAGAAACAGGTTGAGCAGCTCCATTTGATGTACAGAACACAAGAGTATGCCTCTTGCCCATAGCCCCGTGTAAAGCCTATGGGAAGACCACACTGGCAAAGTGCACTAACAGCAATTCCTCCCACAGACTCCCTTCCAAACCTCTGCCGTCCTTTGCCAGCTCTGGAACGTGACGTTCTGCTTTGCAAGTTGCAATTATGTGACAAGTCTCAGGGACTGCAGCAAGAGGGAGGATTGCTACTTATCTAGGTGGTTGGACTGCAGCAGGAAAATATACGTGGCAGTATGAGAAAACTTGAGAATGTTTTCAGGTAAGACAGCTTAAGGGGGTTGTCTGTCACCAACAAAACAGGACAATCCTATTATGTCCTGCTGTGGGTCACACACTCCTGCTACATACTTTATGCTAATTCGGATGTTTGTAGGACTGCTTTGTGAGCAGATTCACTTCATTTGCCTGGCAAAAACTCACACGCAGCTAATCTCAGCTCAAACTACCTAATAAGCACTGGGGACCCCAGAGTCACGGTGCTACCCAGCAAGGAGCATGAGGAAGACTCTGCTACCCAAATATTACTCAACCTTTACGAGGGAGTATAATTCAAATGAACACAATAACTCATCCGTTTCAGGAAGGAACAGTACAATGCCTATGAAAAACATCAGAGGTGCCACTGCAGTTTACTTTTGCTCAAAAAGAACTTATACAACACGTAACATGAAGCTTCTCGCCTAAGAAAGTTTGCCTCTTTGGCTTTCAAAAACTCGAGTTTATGAAGAGCACTACACAATAACACTGCCAATCTCTTCAGCTGATAACCTACACTCAGCACAGACCGCCATCTCACACTCGCAAGCACTCTTCCAGTCCTCTCAACTCTGCTACAAGTGGAAAAGGAACAGTAAGGAGACTTTACAGGCTACTTTGGATCGATTTACAAGCAGCGGCTGCAATTTGTGCGTGCCGGGCACAAGCAGCGCGAGCCGGCTGCCCCGCACCCGGGGAACGTGCGCTTAGAGCAGGATGTTACACACGGGTAACCACAGCCCCATGCGGGTCCTGCGGGAGCTGCTGGGAGCACAAGGACCCTGTGAGGCACACAGAGCCCCCAAAGGAGCGCAGAGCACCCGGCTCAGGAGGCTGGCGGAAGGAGAAAAGGGACGCCGCCCCTCGCCCGCCGCTCCTCGGGACCATCCCCGCCCCGGGAAATAAGCCGCCTCCCGCAGCCCCGGCCCGGCACTCACACGACCGCTCGGGAGATCATCCAGGACACCATCGCGGCGGCGGCAGCGACGCGTCCCCTGAGCCGGCCGGGCCGCAATGGCCGCAGCCCCGCCGCGCCGCCCCGCCCGCCCCATTGGCTCGGGGGCCGCGCGCCTGCGCAGTGCGGCCGCGCGGGCGGGGCCGCCCGGCGGGGCGGGAGCGCGGCGGGCCGGGAGGAGAGCTCGGCGTGAGGGGAGCGGGGCCGGCAGCCTGGGGAGCTGTCTGTCTGCTCCTGCCTCGGCATCCAGGGCCGCTCGGAGCAGCAGTGGCGTCCGTCATCGGCCTCCACACGGATACAGCCTTTGCAGAGCACCCGGAAGCGAGAGGAACAGATAGAAGTCGTTAAGATTGCAGTAAGGCACCTTTCTCCCCTTCTGACCGCCTCTATTTGAAGCACAGTGACCAGCTCTTAGCAATGAGAGGGATGGGATGCCCACCCCTTGCCTTGCTCTTTGCCCTGTGCTCGCAGTGCTGTAGGGTGTTTGGTAAGCCAGAACATCAGTGTCACACACTGAAGTCACCTCAGGCTGGCCGCTGCCCCGGAGCGTGCCCGGCCGCTCTGTGCTGCAGGGGCAGGTGAGGCTGCTGTGGCACCCAGGGACAGCGGCTGGCCCTGCCCTCCGAGCAGGCTGTGGGGCCAGCCCTCTCCGGGCTCCTGCACCCCTCTGAAGCCCTACGGGATGTGCTTCTCCTCGGTGCTTGCTGACAGCACTCAGAGCCAAAGGCTCTTTGAGGTCATGTCCTTAGGTGGGCCTCACACACTGCTACAGGCAGCTAATCCAAAACTGCAGATGACCGGGAAGATACACGTGGAAGGATTAGTGCTTGTATGTCTTGTTACTTTTGTTTCTTCCCTTACACATCTTTTTTACCAGCTGCTGCCCAAGGCCCAACAGCAAGCAAGATGATTCACAGTGTAACCCAGTCCAGGTACTCTTGCCAGACTTTTGTCTGGCAGGCAGAGACATGCAGGAGAAGCTGATTGCTTCCTGATGCTTTAGTTAATCCGTCTCTACATATTAGTTTCATACTTCCTGCAAAACTGCACACATAAAAGAACAATATTTTGCTGATGCTGACTCCTTTATCTTTTCTCAGAAGACTAGGTCATATGAAGTCCTGCCCAAGCCATCACTGAAAATGTTCCACTTTACACTTCTGATTTCAAGAAGTGTAACAGAGCCGCTCAGAGCTGAGGTAGGGAAAGAGCAGTTTACAGTTTCAGCACCATTCCTGCTGCCTCTCACAGCAAATGACATGCCAAAGTCAGTGTCACAATCTCTAGAAGCAATTAGTTCTTTACCATATATTTAAGTGCAGATAATACGGTTTCCCTTCCTGCCATGCAGAAAGAAGAAAGAGCTTAATCTGTGTAAGCTACTGTCTTGTTCAGATGAGAGGTAAATGCAGAATGGTTTCTGTTCCACAGGCAAGCACCAGAATTCTTCACCTCCTCCTACCACTAAAACCCAGCCATGGGCATCTTCACTCCCCTGCAGCCTTCAAACACACCACACACAGCCCAAAGGAGAGAAAGAAAGAAGGTAAATAAACAATAGTGGAATATTTCAACAAAGACAGTGTTTGAAAACACTGTAGTTGTATACTGTGAAATTTGAAGCCTGAAATGAGAAAGCAGACAATGTAAAAAGAAATTATTTTTAACCATGCAGAAATTCTTGCAAACAATGATACTGCCCATCTTGGGTGTCTCCTCACATTGACCTTTGTAGGGGGTTACTGATGCAAGAAGAGATAGAGAGGAATTTGTTTGTGAACAATTTAAAGTACACCACTCATCAATCTTATTTTTGAAACAGGCCTAACCTGAAAGCATTCTTCCTTTCATTCAATGAAAGGAGAAATCCGAGCCACTGCTTCTGTGCTCTTTGAATAACAAACCTCTCCAGTGGTAGACTGGGCAGAGGAAATTCACACAGCAGAGCATTTGTAATATAAATTACCTGGCAGAGATTACATTTTAGGCTCCAGTTCTGTAAACTCCTGCTGCCTGCCTGACGCTCCACTGAAGTTTGTAGCATTCCAGTCCATTTAGAGCAAACTGAAAGATGAGAGCTCTAGTTCACAGCATGTGAAATCAAGTATACAATACATTTCTTTACTGCAAGCAATTATGTTTGGTACTAGCTCAGAGAACCATTCCAGGAAAAGACTTATACTCTTTTTTACTGTCTGAGATTGTATATACAATAATTCTGTAGCTGCATAATTTATTTTATATGGAATATGTTTATACAAAATAAAAAGTAGTTTTCCTCTAAGAGACATTTCTTTTTCTTGCATTTGTTACCATGGCGATACTGTCTCTGTTGGAAAGCTAAATTTACATTTAAAGAGACATTTTTTTTAAAGGGTAAAGGCAGATGGCTCCTGAGAGTAATTTATCTTGCTCAGAAGATTACAATTTATTTCACAGAATGTTTTGAGACTTAATTCAGTGCAACAAGCTGGGTGGTGGTTGCTGGGCTCTCAGCAGACAGGCACAAGGATGCCCCATGAACTTCCCTGTATTCCAGTTAACACATGATGCTAATCTGTGCTCCTGCATGGCAGAAACACAGGGAGCAGCACAGCAATTAAATCCATGCCATGTACTTCGTCAAACTTGGCATGTCTTACTCATATGTCTGTCCATTTCTGTGTAAGGAAGAGAATTACAGGTATCTCATTATGGGATATTTTCAACACCCCTTCTAAAAGCCACTTAATATAGTTAAAAGTTGTTTTAAATAGTTTTAACAGTGGTTGGAAAATAATTTATAACTTATAACTTCTTTGATATAATACCATGTATGTATGTATACAAACATCAATGTTTAGCTTTCACCTCTTTTACAGGTAAACATTTTAATTACATTGCAGCTGTGCAATCAGTGAATGAGCAATATTTAAGAAGACACAAGCTAGTCTGTGATAGAGGGATTCAGTTCCCTGCATTACAAGGATTTGCTCTCCAAAGACAACACCACTTGCATCACATATGTTAAAAATACACGTAGGTTAATCACAGGGATGTGTTTTTCATAGCTTCACTGTTTTAAATTCATCTATCCTAGATGAGTCTCAAATCTAGAATTATTTGAAAAAATCAGAGATTTCTTTCAGTCCTGAATCATACCACATATGTCTGTAATTTTGGGATCAGAACATAGAACAGATAATGCCAGTTTATCTGTTAAAAAAGTACTACAGAATGGGTGAAGATGACTATTTCTTACACTACTCTAAGCTGATGTTATTACCATAACAGATAATTAATTAATGTGGTTGAAATGTATAGTTTCTGCTGCCTTCAACTATTTAACTCTTCATCTACCTTTCCTTTGCATGAAGCAGCAGCAAAGATAAGCTCTGATCTCTAGATAAAAAGCCCTTGTGCCCTAATGAGTTTTAATTTGAAAGTGAGTGTTGGGCAATGCTGTGGACATTTTAGGAACTCGAAGCAGCTGAAGCTTTTGCTCAGAATTCTGGACATGCCACTTCTTGCTCACACGTGTTTCAGCCTCCCAGCAGAGCATCTTGCTGAGGAACATGGCAAAGCCAGTTGGTGTCTAAATTTTTTTTATTCCAGCACACAGACAGAATGCTAATGGGCCTCTTTCAGAAATGTTTGTATGAAATTTATTAACATTCCAAAGTAGGAATGTAAAGCACCCAACTTAATGAAAAAACAAAGATTCAAATGGATGTTTCTACCTTTTTTTCATTTGGTAGGTTTAACCACAATTGTTCTCAGTTCTATTAGTCTGACATTCCTTTTAAAGCTCTTACTTCAATATGAATTAGTAGAAACCTTAGATTTTGAATAATTTCTTTCCCTCATGTTCACAGATATACCTGCAAGTGCAAAACCTGAAAACACAAACTGCAACATGATGTAAAACTCATGGTTCAAGGCCTTTCTTGACAGCAGTTTCCTGACTTTCAGGGCCCTGAGAATTCCAGTTAGTACTGAATTTTAAGCAAAATAGAATTTGAAATTAAAAAGGCATCTATCTAGAGTTGTAGGATGACTGCACTGTGTAGTAGAGGGGAATCCTTGCAAACAGAGGAGTTAGTAAATGCAGCAGGCCCAGAGACTTTTTTTCAAGACTATGAAAGAATGATGTCTAGCACTGTTAATTGTGTGAGTTGTAGGTCAGGAAAAGCAGATAAAGCTGAGACAGAACACTGAAAGCAATTCAGAACAGTCTTATCAATGTAAAGCCAAAGAGTTTTCATCGCTCCAGCACCAGCCTGGTTTGACTGCAGCATTCAATTCAGACAGAATCCAGTTAATCTTATAAGTACAAATATTAAAAGGGTACTCTACTTACTATTTTAAAGAAAATTCACCATGCTGTGAAAAGGTTTATCATGCAACTGCTGATTGGTTTTATCAATTTTTAATGGGTTGCAATGGGTTAAAGTGCCTGCAGTTCTTTCTTACCAGAAACATAAAAGCAACCCATTAGGATTTTTTTTCTTAAGGGAAATGTGATCTAAAGCGGAAGGGGAAAGTTCAGAACAGCTCCATCTGAGACTTTCTCCTGGCAGCAGTTGTATGTCCATCCTACCTTATTGCTTCCATTTGGAGCTGAAAGCATATAAAATGTGGCCCCCACAAGGGCAAGCTGAGGCAACAGAGGAGCTCATTTCCAGCCCAGGAGGCTCTCACAAAGCCACTTTGCTGTACCTGTCACTTCTGTTTCTGTGTTGATAAGCTATAGACAGAAATGTCTGACATGTATTGTATGTGGACCTTCAAACATTACTCTGTGGGTAAGTGTAACCATACCAGTACATCCCACTATGGCTGTCCAGTAGAGAGGTTTGTATAGTTATTTCTCCCATGTTCCCAAGTGGAGTGGCATTAAAGTTGTTAACTTGTTCAAAAGCTGCACCTGAATGTTTCAGTAAATATACACCTCCCTCATGAGAGCAGACCCATTTTAAATGATGAGCTACACATAATCTGGCATCTGATGATCCACTCTTTGGGATTTGAAATCTGTATGCAGAGATGGACACCAAAGCCATATTATTCCTTCCTGTCTGGGTAGTACCATCTCAGCTATATTCCATCACTACCTGTGATGCATCATGTTTAATAATTATAGCAATCTGTTGGAGATTGTTTTTAAATACACCTGCTTTTGATGTTCCTGATCCCTGTGGAAAGCTTATGTTATTTTATAGTCTGTTGACTAAGCTCATGTGCACACCAGCTGCATTTTATCAGGGAACAATGATTGCCTTTTGAACTGGCTGATGGATTTTACTTAAAATAAAGAGGAGATATACCTTCTTTGGCAACAATCAGAGTGTTGTTCAGCACAATATCTATTTGCAGAATGTCATAGTCTCCAGCTAAACAATGCTTGTTCAACACAGCCACCAGCCCAAAAGAGGTGGAAAAAAACATATCTTAGAAACAGAAAGGACTCCAAGGTTTTCTGCTGCATAAGTAAACAAGTATCACCTCTTGTCATTTGGAAAGGTGTCTTGTCCAACCTGCTCCTGAAGCCTTTCAACAGCAATTACACACCTTTTCTAACTATGTTTACCAGATATCCTACTGGAAGCTTTTCCTTGTATCAAAGTTAAGCTGAGTCACGGAGTATTCAGCAGTTTTTATCCTGCCTTCCCCAAGTATGGAAGGAAAGGTGTTAATTTCCTTTGCAGCAACTTCAAAAAACTAAACCCAATACTTATGTATCAAATCTTCCTTTGAATCAAGAATTCCTTATGAGATATTTTCTAGTCTTTTTGATTCCTTTCTAACCCAAGTTTCTTAAAATGCAAAGCCCAAACCCATACACAGAACTTGAGAGGAGCATAATCAGCACCAAGAGCTGAAGGACTATCTCATACATTATCCAGCAATTCAAAAGGCTGCCAGCAAAGGACACTGGGTATCAGGTATCTTCTTTCCCACACTCTCAGGGCAGCACAACAGGATTAGCTGGGAGAGATACTCAGGGGAATCTCTGCTGTGAGGCAGGATGGCAATTCCTTTCTATACCCCCAAGGTAGCCTTTAGCCAGCTGACCCCACTGTGCCTTGCTTTCTCATTCCAAGACAGGTCTAGTCAAAACTGCTGACCAACAAATGCGTTTAAGGAAGCTGTTTTATTACAATATCCTGATCTGTTTTTCCCTTGGAGCTATGTTTTCTCTCTTCTCATTACTTGTGTTCCTTTTTCCCCCCCAAGAAGTGTCATCTCTCTGGGGCAAAGGTCTCTCTAGATTTTAAAAGTGGAAGGGCATATCAAATCATTTCATCCAACTTAAACCCAAGACACAGAATCATTAATTCATGTGTCGTGTCAGATAACCTTTGTTTCCTAGAAGCAGTGCTGCTGACAAAGGATATTGATTTGAAGACATCAGAACATTGGATTTTTTTTTTTCATTTTCACCAGTAATTTTTTTTTTCCCGTCTAGAAAACTAGGCTGCTTTTAAACTTTGAATTTGCCTTTAGTTTCCAGTTTAGGTTCCTGCTATGCTTTAAGTGATAGATTAGCGATGTCTTCGTCTCCAC